CCCCTTGGGCAGCCCCTTCTCCTTCCTGAGCCTGCACCCCAGCAGCACCTAGCTCACAGCCATCGCTGCCAGCGGAGCAGACCTCACGCTCAATCGTGGACCGGGACATTGTATCTGGTGTGGCAGAGCGTCCTGTCCTGTTTTCGTCTGAAATAAGAGTTAGTTTTCTTCTTAGTAGCTAGAATAGTGCTGTGTTTTGGCTTTAGTATGGGATTTGGTATGAGAAGAATGTTGATAATACACCGATGGTTTTAGTTGTTGCTAAGAAATCAAGGACTTTTCAACTTCCCATGCTTTGCTAGCGTGCAGGTGCGCTAGGCCAATGGGATATTCCACATCATGCGACATCCTGCTCAATGTATGAATGAGGATTAACCAGGAAGTTCTCTCTCTCTTCTGGGATTGTGGTTTCAGGATTTCTCTCCTCCAAGATTGCTAGCTTGGTACAGGCTGGGCATTGGTCAGCAGGTGGTGAGCAATTGCACTGTGCATCGCTTATTTGTATATTCTATTATCAACATTATTATCATATTTTTTTTTAAATTTTATTCTATTTCAATTATTCAATTGTTCTTATCTCAGCCCAGGAGTCTCCTTGCCTTTACTTCTCCAATTCTTTCCCCAGCCCTCCGGGGTGGGAAAGGATGAGCGAGCAGCTGTGTGGTGTTTGGATTAAAACCATGAAAATCTTCATGGCAGTGGGTTTTGTTTGTCTTTTTCCATTACCCTAAGCCCAGTCACTGGTTCCCAGCCCTCCTCCACTTGTGCATCTGTATCAGTGCCTCATCCTCACCCTTCTCTTCCTTGGTTCCCTGGGGCCACCATGGCCCCTGGATCCCACTCCTGCCTGTCCTTCCCTAGCAAGGGGCTGCATCCGCTGACAGCAGCAAAGTTTTTGCTCTGCAACACCATCCCCAAACCCACCTGACTCATGTAATGATGCCACCTGCACCTCCATCTCCACCTCTGCCTATGGCCCCTTTCCTCCCCACTGTGCCCTGCAAGGCACAGCGTGGTGCCATTCTCCCTTCAGCTTTGGAGATTGAATTTTAAAAAACAAATAAAATAGAGGATGCTCCTATAGGAAATCCCATACAGACATGCTCCCTGTCCTCTGCCCAAGCTCGGCACTGCTACAGAGCACCATGGGATGCAAAGACTCCCATGCTCTTACAGCTGCAAGGGCTCTCTCCCACATCCAACGCGCAGCCTCTGCTAAGAAATCATCAGTGGGAAAGCAGCCTGAGCTTTGGACCTTGTAACCACGGGCTCCTTCGCCCAGGAGGGATCCCAGGGCACCTCCGAGGGGAGGTCCTCTCCGGCCACCACGTCCCTGCCCAGCCCACAGGCATTTCCACAGTGGGCATTACAGATGTTTAATGGTGCCTTCAGACACTTTGTGTCCTGCCTGCCCCTGCTCAGCTTTGACCTGTTTGTCCTGCTGCCTGTCTGAGTGAGTGCCGGGGAAGCCCGGGTGCCCGCTGAGCAGCCCTCCCCTCCCTGCCCTGGGACTCCCTCCCTTGTGTCAAGGGAGCGCCCGAGTTTTGTGATACTGGGAGGTGCCAAAAGAAAAAGGGGAAGCATTTACGTTTTGAAGAAAGGGATGATGGCATTAATCTCTGTCAATTCTGTTAAAATGCTATAAAGTGAATGGGATGGTTTTCATGTCAGAATTACACATTTACATGGAACTGAAGTATTAAACACAAAAAACATGGTTGAATAAATATATTAATATGCCCAACACTCAGATGATGCCATCGAGCACATCGCTCCCATCTGACACCGGAGAGGTACAGGCTGTGCCCTTGCTTTTATATTGACTATTGTCAACAGGCAGCAAAGGGGTCGGTGGCTCTGCTGGCAGCTCCTGCGGCTCCCCATCATTTACGGGCTGGCCCAGACACATCTCTGCTGTCAGACATAGACCATTGCCGTGTGGCCAACCCTTGTCCCCTGGTAGCACAGGGAGAGGAAAAGGGATGTTGAATTATGCTGTAAGAGGGAAGAACGCTGGTAAAAGTGTCATTTGCTCATGACTTTTTGCAGCTTTCTGCACGCAGCGGAAGCGTGGCTGGGCTGAACCTGTCTGAGGCACCGGTATCTGCTCTCATTAGGTGACGAGTGGCCTTGAGGGGAGAACCACCAGCTGGTGGGATCGCCTCAGTCACCAGCCCCTGCCAAGGCTTACAAGACAAGGGTGTTTTCCTGTTGCTGCTGAACAGGGCTGTTGAGCAGTAAAAATGCTGCTGTGCCCTCTCCAGGCAAGTCACTCGCTGTTGGCAGAGACCTTTGGAGTGAGTGCAGGCAACTCCACCGCCAGTGGGTGCAGCGGGGGCCATGGTGCCCGTCGGCCCTCGCCAGACACCTCCTGCCCCTGCCCTGGCCAGCTCTCCCTGCTTGTTCACGCCCAAGGCCCCAGGAAATTCCTGCCGTCTCTGCAGCTAACGTCACACCCCATGGCACGCCAAAACGTGGGAAGCCGTGGCACAAGATGATTTAAGAAGAAGCAGGAGCCAGGAGGGGCAGGGAAGGGGACAGACCATGGACAGGCTGTGCCGTGGGGATGCCAGGCAGGGATGTCCAGCAGCAGGCAGGACTGCAGGGACCACAGGGAGAAGTGTGCTCAGAAGAAGGCTTAGGGGCAGGACCTCACCAGCCTCCCATGCCACAGGAGGAGCTCCCCCACCGCTCCCCTACCACCAGATAATGAGAATAATTACTGCATATGGTGAAAATGCTCACTGACACACATATGCTGTGCCCTGTGCAGCAGGCAGGGCTGACCACGGACTTTCCCTTCCTCTCCCCAAGTATGAGCACACCACATCCCTGCGTGGATAGAGGCTGCGGTGCAGAGCAGGCAGCAGCCTGGAGAAGCCTCCACCGCATGCTCATCTCCTGAGAGGTGCCCTGGGCCCAGCACACCCAGCACATCGCCCCAAGTGCCCCAAATCCACACCTCCATGACACTACCAGCAGTGTTGGAACTGCTGATGAGAAAAAAGTGGATCCTGAGGTGCATGCAGCCACAGTTCACTGATAACCAAGGTCAAAAAGCAGCATTTTGTTATGCATAGGCACATGTAGATGTGCACAAATGAACAATACGGTGCAGAAGTTGCTGTTCTTTACCTCTGCTGCCCACTTCTGTTGAGATGCCTGTCAGCAGCACCTGGCACACTCCAGTTTAGCTCTGAAGTAGTTTTCCAGGCAGAAAACCTCACCTCTGTTTCCACTCCTTTCCCAGCCATGAGCAGTTTCCATAGTTTGGTACAGCAGCTCTTGCCAAAGCAAAGCCAGAACAGATGTATCTGCTGAGCCACGCTTGTCCCAGGACACGGATGTCCTTCTCCTGGTTCTCATCCTTTATGTGCCCTGGGTGCTCCCTGACGAACGACCTCTGATCCACAGACCAGACGCTGGCTTAGGTGCTGCTTTGTGCAATTGCAGCTTCCCTGCTGCAGGCACACGGCTGCAATCCTGCTGCTGCTGCTTCTGCTGGGCTCCTGCTGCCCCCCACCCCACCTTTCCCCACCCCAGCATCCCGCAGAGCCTCGATGGGACACACCACTTTCAGCAGAGCGTTTCGAAGGACAGTGTGCATTCGGGCTCCTGTGCTGCCTTAAGCAATCTGCTGCTGGAAGTGCAGCATCTTTCCTTTGTTAAGCCTGAGCAGCAGCAACAACTGAGTGTAACTCCGCTGGGTACATCTGGGAAATCCTACCAGGCTGTGCTGGGATGAGGCGGCAGCGTGGTATTTCTTCTCTCTCCCTCTCCACTTTCCTGGCCTTTACCTCTCTCAGGCTAAAAATGCAGTTTTCTGTATTTCCAGGGGATCACCCACAGGACTGTCTGGGTCCTCTGAGGTCTAGGCAGGTGGGAGTGCCACTGCGCAGACCCTCCCCGAAGCACTGGCAGAGTCTCTACCTGCCCTTTACAAGGTTTGTGGTGAAGATGAAGGCAGAGGAGGGGGGAAAAATCATATTTTCCTGAGAGTGTGAAGCTGGGGGAGGTTGGTAGGGACCAAAAATCCTTTAGCATCTCTCTGAGAGTGATGGAGAGAGGGTGGAGGTAACCTCTGCCTTTTGGACAGAGTGTATTGCTGACGACCCACAACCCAAGCAGGTTTTAAATCACAGATGGGTGGGAATTCTTGCACAGGGTCCGTAGGGGAGTGTGTCTCTGTAATGCAAGAGGTGAGCTCGTGCCAGGCAGCCAAAAATCCCTGTGGCTTTACGTTTAGAAAAGTGGGACTGGCCAGCAGTCCCGGACGGCCACCTGGACCACCTCAGCAGGGGCAACTCAGCACTTGGTGGCCTGCAGCCATCATCTGCCTGTGGAAAGCCCCAGCTCTGCTCTGGAGTAGAAGTCACTTTTCCAAATTTTCCAACTTGGATGAGCAACACTGACTTCTCCTCTGTATTAAACATACTTTCTAAGAGCTGCGCGAATAACAAAATACTGGTGAAAATCTTTCTGTGCAGCGGGTGCAGGGAAATCTCCGCTGCACCAGGGGCTGCTGAGACAGATGAATCAGGCGAAGGATGGGTGCTCTCGGGCAGCGCAGGAGTGACACACACAGAGGCAGGAAGGCAAATTCTACTGTTTATTCATGATATTACTCAGGGAAGGGGGAATCAACCACAATCAAGGCAAATTGCCCATGGTGCTCCTCCCAACAGCTGGGGCAGCAGCAACTCCTGCCCGCAGCAGCTCCACAGGGTGCAGTGAGGATGGCGGCATCTGCAGCGGGATGGGAGAGGAGAGTCAGGGAGTGTTGCTGTGCCTCGCCACACCGTATGTGTCCCCCTCAGTCCTTCCCCGTCCCCATCTTGCATGAGGTTCCCAGCAACATTTCGCTGCAGGACAGGTCTTTCTTGTCACCTGTCCATGGCTGTTTCCCCACTGCAGCAACCCTGTGTTGCCAGGAGAGACGCCGGGAGGCCACTTGGCTGCGTGCAACAGTGGCTTTATAAACCAGCACCAGCAGATTCAGCTTACCAGAATATGCCCTGCTGCCTCCTCTGGTTGATGTCTCTCTTAATTTGGCAAACAGAGCACACGGGGCACCACAGAGTGATACAGTAGTCAGAGCAAATGGATCCCTGTTAGGAAGAAATTGGTTAGGGACAGAGGCTTCCCAAAAGCCATGCTTCAGCCAAGAAAATGTTAATCACATTCCACGGTGCGTGCCCTTTGCTTCCTGGCTGGCTGCAGCATGCTCAGTAGCAGACACTAAAAACCAGAGGTTTCAGTATTGGTGGGTGCTGTGGGGGCTGGTGAATCCCCAACACTATGGAAAGGAAGAAGGGATCCCTTCTGCAAGTTGCAGGTATCTACTTATCTTTCGGCTTCCAAGGATAACACTGGGAGGAAAAACGCACACAGAAAGACGGAATTTGGGCAAACTGGACTCAGGCTCCCATGGTTTGCACTGGGACGGCACCAACCCTCCCGTGGGAAGAAACCATTTCATGTACGTACTGTATGTGAATGTCTACCGTTCTCCTGCATCTGATTATGGATGTTTATCTGCACAACTGATTTAATCTATTCTTTAGTCTGCCCACAATTATCTCAAACTTTTCGCATCTTTCCAAGACTGGGGATGGCGTGGGGAAGCAGCAGCCGAGGTTCTGTGAGCCGCTGTGGTCGGCTGCAGCTGCAGGCAGGACATGTACCCCCAGTGAAGGGTGCTGGGAAGGAGTAGTGTCTGATTGATGTGCGTTGTTGGACACCCGCCCAGGGATCAGTGCAGCCGAGGGTGTCCCAACCCCTGTCCTGTGCTCCCAGCATCATGCAGGATACAAAAGTGAAACAAAGGGCGAGCGGAGAGCGCTGCTGCCCTGTGCTCATCCCTGATGTGCAGAGAGACGAGGGCCTCGGGGGCACCTCGTCTTTCAGCCTGGCAGCACGGCGAGAGGGCGGGTTAACCACTGACCGGGATGTTGTATCTGGTGCGGTAGAGGGTCCTCATGGCCACGCTGGTTCCGCACAGGCAGCCCTCATTCATGTCCCCAGCCACTTGGCAGGCAAGGCAGGGGAAGCAGAACAGCCCGCAGCAGCCTGGCAGGAGGAGAAACACAGCAAGGAGTGAAGCTCTGCCTGCCTGTCTGGCACCGCTGGCATCAGGGTGGGGGAACCGAGAAGACCAAGCTACAGGTGTTCAAGGCCAGGTTGGGTGAAGCTTTGGGCAACCTGGTGTAGTGGAAGGTGTCCCTGCCCATGGCAGGGGGGTTGGAACTAGCTGATCTTTAAGGTCCCTTCCAACCCAAACCATTCTATGATTCTATGGCTGTAGCTATCACAGCACCGACCCAAGCGGCATGGGCAAGAAAAGTGTCCCGAGAGGGCGTGGGACCGACCGCAGCGCGTCACTGCCGACGGCTGAGGGATGGGACCGTCCGAGGCACTCACAGACGCTGCAGTCAGTGCAACAGTCCATCAGCCCTGTCTGCCAAATGTTCCTTGAGGCAACAACGGGAACGGCCATGGTGTACTGCGGCTGGATCGTCACGACGGATGGGGCGGCCATTCCCAGTTGCTCTTCTGGAAGAGACGGGAGGGGAACGGGACAGTTAGTGAAAAAAACGTGGTTGGTTTGATCTCCCAACCGAGCTGGTCGCCATTCCTCTTCAGCAGGCGGCCTTTGCCCAGCATCCTTGCTGCTGCTGGAGGTGACGAAGCATAACTGTATCTTACCTGCGTTTGTGTCTTTTCAAGGTTTTTGCATTTTCTGCCGTTTTATCCAGCCTTCAAAATAGCATCAGGCCGTTGATGTTCCTCACTCCACCCCAGAAAGGCTTCACTAGTGCTTAGACACAGTTCACCAGCCACCTTTGTGCCAAGCAGGTGTGGGGGGTGAATCTAGGCTAAAGCTAGGGCTCAGGCATTTTGGTTGTTGAACTTGGCATATTTCACGCAAGATTGCTTTGGTATGGGTGCAAAGCATGCGGGAAGCAGCCATGGTCTCGCATTTCCTTGTGACGAAGACAGACTCCAGGCAAGAGAGATACTGTAGAAAACTAGTATCTCTGGTTTCTTGTTGTAGAGAGTCAGAAAAGCAGAAACTCAACACTATGTCCCAAGTCTGAACCCCAGTTCTTGCCTTCCTGCAGTTAAACAAGCAATTAACCCTTGAAACCCAGTAAGCTTCAGATTAAAAAAAATCCCCAAAATCTCTGTGCTCCTACTCTCCCAGCTGAGCAAAGGACAGCTCAAAACATTCTGAGAACAATTACAAGCAAGCTTTGTCCTGAGGCCAAGTTCTTCTAGTTATGCACAAATAGAAGAAAGAAGAAGGGAAAAAAAAAATATAAACTGTCTGCTCAAGCTTATTGAGACTTTTTGCTACAAATTGGGGTTGTTTGGGGTTTTTTTTCTTCTTAGAAATAGCAGCTTGGCAAAGACAGAACCATGCTGCTGGGTCGTCAGGCTCCTTCCCCTGCAGCTCTGAGCTCACAAAGCTGAACAGAAACTGAAACGAAGCAGGGAAGGGTCCCCTTTCTCTCCACATGTTGAGGCAACGCACGATCCTCCAGAAATCCCACTCCTGGCTCCGCGCCAGCCTGCCAGCCTGCTGCGAATGCCGCCAGAGGCAGTATCAGGTACGCATCCAGAGGGAAACTATGAACGTGCGCTGCCTCCGAGTGCATAGCCACGCTACCGACACACGGTAAATATCTCTCTTTTCCACACTTTTACCAAAAAAAAAGCACGGTATTCAGTATACGAGTATTAATCACCTACTTTCTTCTCTCTTAGCTGCAAACATTAATGAAGAGATTCAACATTAAGATGCTCTCGTCACCCATAGCACAGCCCATTGAAAACGACAGCAAATACACAGGGAGACCAGGCAGCAACATATAAAAGCAACCCACATCCAAGCTTCTACAGCAGCTCCATCCTAAGAGCCAGAAAACACACACAGCTAAGCAGCCTTGTTAAGAGGAATTTGGTCTTGAGCACCCATGCAGACAAGAGAGAGCCCAGTTGAAAGAGAGAGCAAAGTACCAGTCAGATTCCTTTAATGCAGTTATACAGTTCTGGTAGCAGGAGAAAGCAGCAAAGAAGGAACCTCTCCATAATCCAACTTTTGTGTATAGCTTTTTAAAAGCCTCCCCCTTCCCCAAGTAGGATTTGCCATATATTTTGCTTTAAATTATGTGCTGAGCAGGGAAAAAAAATATAAGTCTCTGCTTTTGCACTATTATCCTACTCTTCCCAGGCTGAAAATTTTTACTATTTCCATGCTTTTAAGAGAACCAACCTTCTGGCGAGCAGCTTCTGTCGGTGCAGGCTTCCTTGCCCTGTGCAGAGAGGGTCTGGGGAAATGGAAACTAAACTTTCTTACTTGGAGGCTGTTACTGGCAGTCAGCAGAGACAAAAGGTAACAGTGGGAGGTCTCTGGAGGGGGAAGTCAGGAGCTGGGAAACTAGAGGCTTAACACATATGCAGAGTACAACATTTTTTTTTTTTCCTTTTTGCAGAATTAAATCATAGACTGCTATTCTTCTTTAAAAAAAAAAACAAAAAAAACCCAACAACAACAGTTGCATGTATATTGTTTCATTCCATGACTCTGTGTACATGTGGTTGTTGTTTGGGGGACAACAGCTCTGGATGATGTGCTTTCATTGGGATAGACGTTTTTCCAACATTTTTCCCCAAAGAAAAAGCGTACTTCTCGGGTCCCAGATCAGACTAAATGAAGAGCACCCCAGGGTGCTTCACTCTGAGCTTTTCCCTTTCTTCAAGGAGAAGGGTTCGGATGAAGGGATTGCACAGATCTACTTGCTCTCACAGTCAGGCTTGGGTGACAGCAGGTGGGCAGCGTGGCTGCAAAAGGGGGCTGCGGCAGGGGCTCCTGGGTGGCCAAAATGTCCCTGCGGTGCCCAGAACAGCCCCTGCCCCAGCCTGCTGATGCAAGGAGCGAAACAGGATGCTATCTGTCAAAGCCAGCAACAGCTAAACCTATCTGCATCAGGGTGTGACTGCAATGGGGGGAAGCCCCAGCCCTGACTGTCCTCCTCCACTTTCATTCAGCCCCAGATAAAGAGGCAGCAGGACGCGATAGTACCTTTGCTTTTAATCCTCGCCTCCATCTGCAGCAAGTGTGCTCCCTGCTCCTTTGTAGGGATGCATTTGGGGTTTCATTTCTCAATTAGTGCATACACCCCAAGTGGTGGCTTTCTCTAAAAATTAGGCTGATTTCCCAAGTGCTTGCCACAAGCCACATAGCCTGGCTATTTTAAAACTGAGTCCTTACCATACATGCATCCATTTCGCTTTATGAGATACCAATATTTATTAATATCTTCAGCAACATGCCCTAAATAATGAACCACTCATGCCCTGTACAAGTCACAGACCATTTCGGACACACTTCCACATTTTGTAGGGAAGCTGTGACATAAGGACAGAGCGGATCGGAGCGGTGGCTGCTTGCCCAGGAGCAATGCAAGCTCAAAGCATTCCATGCGAAGTGCTGATGTTCCCCTTCTCTCTCACCATTGACATGAACAGGCAAAGGAGAAGTTTGAGTTAAACTGTAACTCACCAGCTTTGGCAACAGGCTGGGAGTTATGGTGCCTTAAGCGGAGCCTTTTACCAATAGTGCTGCTGAGATAACAGTGAACCGTGCCTCGAAATGCTCCCGTTGGCTTCCCAACAGCTCCAAAGTCTAACTGTCGCTGATCCTGCTTTATAACGGGGCTGCCTGGCTTGACTTCTGCCTGGATCGTACACATTTTTTTTTTCAAAAATATTGCAAAAGGCCGCGGGAATTGCGGTTTGCAAAAAAATGTGGTTCACCAGACACTTTCTAGATGACTAGATACCTGACATCCCTCTGGCTGGCTGGACCAGGCTCATGCAAAATGCCAGCTAGTCCAGGAGTCTGCTGGGGACGGAGGGTATAGGAGATAACATATTAAAAAAAAATCTCGTCAGCAACATTTTAAGGATTTTAATAGTCTGTCCTCTATTCAGAGCTGGAGTGACACTGACTATCTGAGCACCCAGGTCCTTCAAGCGCTTTTCTTCTGCAGAAAAGCAGCCCACTCCAACCTGCAGTCCTGGTGCATTGTGATAGTTTGATGGGGGGGGTGTTC